AATTAAAGAGTTATTTTAAGAAAATGAAAACAGCCTGATTTTGTACTTACAACTGGCTGTGGTGACATGTATGAATCTATATATGTGTGTGTGTTAGTGACAGAAAATGAACAACAAACAGCCTCATGTCATGGCGTGATTAGGAGCGATGATGTGAGTGGTGGATGTGTGAGAATGTGTGTGTGTGGGTTGACAAAAAATAAAACTCAATATATAGCCTTGTTTTATTGTTCTTCTCATTAAATGAAGGATTATTTCCAGATCAGGCAGGACAGGGCTGGACGTCTATTTGACGTTAAGTCTTTCCCCAACGAGACGGATGCTCTCCAGTCTGTGCAAATCTTCTCCTTTGAATTTTCCTACCTTGCGCAGACCCCTCCCTCCCTCTCCATCTCTCTCCCCGTCCCATTCTGTCTTTATTTCTCCTCTGTTTCTCTCTCCCCTCCTCTCTTTCTTTTTCTGCGCTCCTCCCTGAGTGACAGCTCAATGCCCAGCTCTCCCAGGCTTATCTAGCCTCAGCAGATGGTTGACTTGGATCACTGTTCATACGCCACGATCTGGGCTGGTGATAAAGACTGTTACAGAGTGAATATATGCTATCTTTCTCTTTTCTTCCTTTTTTTTCTTTTTACTCCTTCTCCTCTCACCTCCTCTTGATCTGCTGTCGTTTTCCCCCTCTCCATCCACCTCCTTTCATCTCTTTTTATTATGCAGCTCTTTCCATCTCTACCTGGACACGTCTGCTCCTCTCCTTGTCGTGTCCTCCACCACTCCTCAACTGTGCACTTTGTCCCAGCCCCCCCCCCCTCAATCCTCCCCTCTCCGTCTCCTCATCTCCATCCATCTCTGTGCATTGAATCTGGTGCTGCTTGATTGTCTCTGCTTCCCTGCTGGGCTGGCGCCTGTCTAAAGGGCCCCAGGACCGTCACACACTGAGGGGCGCCAGCCATGCCAGAGATTGCCCTCTCTTCCCTGTCCTCTCCCTCCCTCTCTCCTCCCATATCACTTCATCTGGTCCCTCTTCATCGCCACGGGACAGAAGAAAAGGTCAAATTGTGTGTCTTTCCGCTCTTCTCGCTCTTCTCTACAATCAAAGTTACACACAAGTCGACATCTCGGTGCATATTGTGTGCACATCTATGAAAAAAAAGCTCCAGTTGACCACTTTAATATGTTTCAGATTATTGTAAATATGTGCCAAAGAAGTACAATGACTAAACAGGTAACCTTCAAAGTGCTGCAGCCTGAAGCTCTTCTACACTCACATCTTCTGTTTTCATTCGTTTCATTTACATGATCACATGCATTCAAACAACTGATGTGCACTTCACAGGCTTGAATTGCCCATTTTATGTACTTCACTTGTCTGGATTGGTCATTTGATGTCCTCCTCACATGTTCTTCATTTTACACAGCCAACCAACAAAGCAAAATGAGAGGGTATAGCTGCCACTCATAGATGAAAGAAGGGGAACGAGTGCTGCGAGCGATATGAGCGTGAATGTACAACACAGCACCTTGTATGGAAACGGAGAAAGAGACTGGCAAAGACACCCTGCACACACTCCATACATTAGATCAGCTCTGTGTGATGTGTGCCAGTGTAGTATGAGAGGGAAAAGACATGAAAGTCAGATGAAATTGTGTGAATGTAAGGTGGCCTCTTGAAGAAAAGATGTTGAAATGTATCAGATAATAAGTACAATGATGCCGGCATGGGCGTTTATACGGAGCTGTCACCCCATATGTGGTGGAAAACCTCCTCCCCTGCGATGCACCAGTGGGTCTATCTCTCTCTCTTCAACACTCCAGATTGTATTGCAGCCATCTTAATCTGAACGGTGGAATCTGGCATCCACACCGGGGCACCTGCATCCGTCCAGCCCGACCCACTTTTGTTCTGGTCCGACCCCCTAACTTTAGCCCCTAATTAACTCAACGGAAACTAATTAAATACAGCTCTAGTGGACCAGACGCCAGACAGAAAGAAGAAGAAGAAGGAGGAGGAGGAAACAGGGAAATGAGCAGAGCGAAGAGAGAGCGAGCCAACGAGACAGGCAGTAGTAGGAGAGAGGGGAGATCCAAAGCTTGGCCTCCAGCTCCTGAGACCAGTTCAGACACACAGGAAGACGGGGAGAGAGATTCAAAGATGGAGGGTGTTTGGGTGTCATTGTCAGCCTGGGTTATCCTGAGCTCCACACTGACCATATACTTCTTTACATGCTCTCATTTCTCAAGCTATTCCGGGTTCTCCCTCAAAGATGAGTGTGGTTGCCAACTGCTGTAATCACAAGCACACCAGTCACATGACGCAACTGATGCCCTGGAGATATTTGGAAAAGGGTATAGATAGGATGGGGAGAGCCACGAAGAGACAAGAGCAGCGTAGAATGAAAGCAGGAGGAGGAGGAAGGTGGGGGGGGGGGGAAGGAAGGTACGGGACAGGATTGTGGGAAAAAGATATCTAAATATGGGTTCAAACCAGCCAAGTGTCTCTGGCACGACGCCGCTGCTGCTAGTCCCAGGCACGGCTCGCTAAGTGATAGAGAAAGTAATTAAGAGAAGCCTGTTCAAGTAGATAGGCCTGTAAAGGAGATTTGAAGAGGGGAACTGATTGTGCATGTCTGATTCCAGCTCTTCAGAGAGTTCTCAGCCCCAAGGCTTAGCTTTCAAAGGGCCGTCTCTCTCCCTGTCTTATTTCTCCGTTTCTTTTTTTCTGTAACATATATCTACAAACAAAATAGGACTCTGTCTTTTCATAAAGCACACGTGTGTTTATGGTGGATGTAGGACAGAGAGAGGGGAATTTAGCCTTAATCAAGACATCTATCCCTCTAGTATCTATCTCTATCCATCTATCTATTCATCCATCCATCCATCATACAGCTCAATAGATGTTTCCGCTTGCTTTGCATAGGAAATAATGCATTGCTATTTTGACTTGAAAGTTCACATGATGTCTTTTCCAACAGGAATCCCCTTCTGAGTACATGGACAGTCTGACAGACATGATAGAGCAACACTGCCACCTACGATGGGCAGATAAACTTGAAGTCTGCCGGTTCAGCCTTGGAGACTATTAGTCAAGTCTGACTTGAGTTGCGTGCTTTGAAAAATGTATTTGTTGACAGTTTTTTTTGTGTGTTTTTGTTTATCTCATCCTAAATATTCACTCCATGTTTTTCTATTAGAGGGAAAGCTCCCAATAGTTCAGAGAGAAGTAGGAACAGTGTCTAGCTATAGGGGCACAAACAGACATATCCCTGATAAATAAAGATTCATTTAGATTTTTTTATGCTTTTTTCATGCTTATGTTTCTTGATGTCAGCGGTGAGACGACAAAGGCTCAATCTTTTTTTTAAACCTTATATATTACTGAATAATATAAATAGAAAAAGTACTTCTTTCTTCTTCTGTGTCTGAAAACCAGCACTGAGAGATTTTATATGATTCTCACATTACATGTTTTATAAAAACAGAATATGATCAACGACTCACCAGTTCTATCTTTACTACGATGACAACATTCTTTAGTCTGAAATAAACAGTCAGATTTTAATGCACAATTTAATTAATAAAACATAACTCGATCCTAAAATGGATCTTTTGAATTAAAGTGTGTTATGATCATTCTATCATTTTAGAATATGATCTTTCAGTAGGTGATCTATTTTTACCTCAGAGAGATTACGAGCATTTTAATGCCGCTGGAGACTTGAGGATCCATCACTGCTCCATCATCCGAGGTCAGCACCACACCACATGTACTGAACAAGTCTGTCTGTCAGAATTAGAGCTTTTTAAACACTAAGCATGCACATTTGTGTTTGTTTTTTTTCCGTTCCTTCAAAATAAAATGCATGCTGTTACATAACATGGAAAAAAAATGAATCTTGGGTTACTTCAGTGATTTTATTTAGTCAGAAACCTCGTTAACACTTTAGTACAGTCTCTGTTCATTCACTGTGTTAAAATCATTAGGAAAATGTAACGCAAGGTTTTAAATGTCAACTATTGAGGCCTGTATTATACTTACTCTGTCTGGTACAGCAAGTGTACCTCCGGAAAGTAGAGGAGTGAAAGTATTAAGTCTCTTAACTTTATTAGGCTTCTCAAGATAAACGCATTTCGCTCAAAAACAAACTTGTAAGTACTTTCCTGGATAATAGCAAACTGGTAAAGAAAGACCAACGAAACTAATCTACTGGTGACATCTACTGGAGAAACTGCGGTGTTGATGCAAAATGTTAAAAAATTTATAAAATAGATCCAACTAAATCCTCAATTAGCGTCCTCTGCTGGTAAGAAAGTAGACAGGTCAACAGCTCGACTTTATAGGGTTGCGAACGTTTGACAAAACTTTCTAAATCACGTTTAAATCTGAAAATTACACGATTTAAAGTGGTTCAACATATACCAGGCTATAGGCTCATGGGCTGCACATTCACATACGTACAGTCCACTATTATGTAATCTAATGTGTATAACATGGAAAGCATACTGTTAGAAGAAAGTCTCTGCATTAAAATGTCTTCCAACAGAATTGAACTAAATCATGTATCTCCCTTTCTCAATAATTTACTAATTGTGCTTAGTAAAGTCCTGTATAATAGAAAAACAGACCACATATTTGTTTTCAGGGTTTCAAATAGCGAGTACGTCGTGTGGGGATGAACATTAAAAGCTAAAAATCAACGTAAATATATATACATGTTTTTATCCTAATCGTGACCCCGCTCCAATGTATACAGTGCGTTTTTCTTATTTGTGTTTTTCTTCTCTTCTTATATTCATCTTCGATATTTTGTTCACATTCTTGCTCAGTATTTTTCTGTTAATACAACTGAGAGAAAATGTAAAAAGCAGTTAATAAAACAAAATCGACTGAAGAGGGGTAAGCTATTGTCTTTATTTAAATAGTCAGCATATTGGCCCTGATGTCTGCAACAAAAAACAAAAAAACTGCATATGTCACGCGTTACACCACTGTCGTAAAACGTTTCTGGCTGCTGTTGCAATGGCGTTTGCTGCGACAGCACTTTCCGGCAGCAGGGAAATTGAGGAGAAAGCAGCGACAAACGTCGCGAGCGGATACGTTATACCCTCAAATGTCTTTGGATTTATGCGATATTCGGTGAACTAACGTGTATATTGATTGTATACACCTTCACCTCGTGGATGAGCTCAGTGTTCAACGTTTTTCAAGCGTGAATCTCCACCTTAATGCGGTGGGATGGCCACAGTGCCGCCTGGGCCTAGTAGCGCACTGCCTGCATCCCCGGCTGATATTTCTCCTTTCCCCGGGGCTGGGAGCGCGGAGCCGGCTGGGCACGACGGTGAGCCGGCCTATCACAGGGAGGACCGTGTACCCGCCGGTACGGGGAAGACGTCGGAGTCGGTAAGCGAAGTTAACAGGTCGCTTAATTATAAGAAGCAGAAAAACATGCTAGCTCGAGCTAGCCCGGCGGCGCTGCACCTCAAAATGCAAGCCCGAGAGCAGCAGCAGCTAAACGGCTTGGCCGGCCCGTTAGAGGACGCTGACAGCCACCAGCAGCACGCAGGAAACCGGCCTGACAATCCGAGACCGTCCGTGGACAGCTGTGACAGCAGCGGCAGCAATGAGGAGGCTCCAGAAACCGCCAGAAACTACAGTGAGCGATGCCAATACGAAGGCCCCTTCTCGAAAAACGGCAGTCACTCTCCCTTAGTTAACAATAGCATGAACGGGATGCCGGGTTTCACGAGAACTGAGGCGGCCCACGGACACCCAGGGGACAAAGGGGACGAGGAGTTCGACCTCACGGAGCCGCCGGACGACGCCGGGCCCGGTGGACAGGAGAGCCCCGCAGACCTGCAGCCACCGGCCGCGGAGCTGGCCCGGCTCGACCTCAGCGGGTCTCTAGGCCGAGCGGAAGAGGACAGCCACGGCATCCGCTATGTCCGCTACGAGTCTGAGCTTCAGATGCCGTGGATCATGAGACTGATCACCAAGGACTTGTCTGAGCCTTATTCAATTTACACCTACAGGTACTTCATCCACAACTGGCCGCAGCTCTGCTTTCTGGTGAGTGTGACATTGAAACCATCTCGATAGCTGTAGTCACTCAAACACACATCATCTATAGGTAAAATAAACCCAGCCACCCTCCTATAGCTCATGGACTGTGGTTACCTAAGGGTGCATATAGCATTATTGGGGCTGGGTGTGACTGCACGCTTATAACTTTCCATCAACTGTCTGTGTGTGTCAAGGCAGCCAAACTGCTGAACACACACACACACACAGTTTAATCACACACAGGTAAATGTGTGGCTGGCAGCACATTGGTTTTGAAGTTGTATTGTATATGTTGGCAGCTAACACCCACTTTTCTATCACAAAGACTTGACCCTTATCGGTTTCGTGGCTTTAAATCTGAATTAATAGCTGTCAAATCTAGAAAAATGTAACTGACATGACAATATCGTTTATGGTTCATGTAAAGGGTCTTCTGTCCGGTCACATGTACAGCATGCAAAGGTTTTAAACCCTTACATTCCAGTTTTAGTTGAGAGTAATGTGCTGTAAGTCGGTGTTTCCTCTTCTGCCGACATTGTCCAGTCAGGGGTTTCCACTTTGACAAACGCTGTCCTTTCTTTGTTCATCCTCCAAGCCTCTGGACCGATCCATGTAACATAAGAGGAAGTGTCTTGAAATAAAGGTCAGAGGTCAGCCGGGGAGAACCAGCTGAACTGGCAGGATGACAGGGACTGTAGAGGAGCTGTAGGCTTCTCCCATCGACACTCGGAGGACCTAAGTGTTGTGTGTGTGTGTGTGTGTCACAGGCCATGGTGGAGCAGGAGTGTGTCGGAGCCATCGTATGTAAGCTTGACATGCATAAGAAGATGTTCCGTCGCGGCTACATCGCCATGCTGGCCGTGGACTCGAAACACAGAAGGAAAAGCATTGGTGAGATCTGGACGCTGCGTGTGTCTCGTACAGAACAATTTATTTATATAGCGTCAAATCATAACAGAAGTTCTCTCGAGGTTCATGTAGAGCAGGTCTAGACGGTCCTCTATAATGTCCAAAAACCCAGCATTCACCTATTAGCAAGCCCTGGGGTGACAGTGTCAAGAGATTATACATAACAGAGAATAAACCTAAAAGTCTTTCCTTTCACAATGTGGAGCCGAGACAAAGTTGCACAACAGCGTCTTTCGTGCTTTCTCTGACAACCAAATCTCTTGATGCAAATGCAGTATTTAGATAAGTTATACACTCCGGGTTGATGTTTAACACTGTACTTGGACCTGAAGAGACGTGTACTCCCTTTATACTATCAGACATCGAGCGTTATTTTATTATTTAAAGTTTGTGTTGTGTTAATTTGCGTGCCGTCACTAACTTGGTCTCTTCTGTTTCAGGTACTAATCTGGTGAAGAAGGCCATCTATGCCATGGTGGAGGGCGACTGTGACGAGGTGAGAGGCATAGACTCGTTTAGAGCGTGCTTTAGTACGTCCAGAGGATATTAAATACTGTTCATACATAAAATACAAATGCATTAAATGATTGAAATACATTTGTCCATTTAGTCCTTGTTTTGGTGTTGGCCTCCGTGCAAGGACCAGTGCTCTCTCCCCGTCCTTCACTTATCTGAGTTTGCTGCTAACCTTGGATTGATTGTCAGCTTCTCTCAGTATTTTCTCTCTACAGACTATTTCACTCGCTCTGCTTCTCTCTGAACAGCCGCATACTGACTCACACACACACAGATCTTCTTCGGACACACAAACAAGAAAGATGGCTGAACTATCCTTCTTGCGACTGCATTACGACGTGATAACGAACCATGTTCTCTATAGCAGTGAATGGAAACAAAAAGCTACTGGGTAGTGGGTCTTATGAGGTACTGATCCATAATCAGTGTATAGTTGACACGACCCTTAGCTTGGAGAGGCAGACTGGAGTACAGGCACGAAAGCAAAGCAATGCACCACTGTGGACGACGGCAGCAGCAAAACATATTTTAGACACCTAAAAGAAAGGCCCACCCCAAAAAACATCAATGTCGTTTTAAGTGTACGCTGTATTTAGAATATTTTTATCCCTTTACCTTGCCGTGACGGCCGTTTCTGACTGGGACATTAAGCATCATCTCGGCTCTCTTCAAAGCCACCAGCCTCCATTGAGGAAACACAGAAATGTTAGTGTTGTGTCCTGTGCTCTTCAGTCAAAATGTCTGCTCCATGATGCGGATAGACTGCTGTAGCATCCAGACTGGCAGCAGTGGGAAACAGCTAGCTAAGCTTAGACTAAAGTGTATTTCAACTACTTCAAAACTGTCGCGTGTGTGTGTGTCTATTTAACACGCATGCATATAGAGCATGAGACATTGTGGCGTAATCAGCAGCTAGTATGTTCATTGAAGCTGTTCTTGACCAACGACAGCTGACCCTGCAAACTGCACACACAGCATCTAAGATGTCGGGTGCTTTAAAGCTAATTTACTGTCTTTTTTTATTTCATTTATTTGTTAAACCTTTATTCATCCAGGATAATCCCATTGAGATTTTAAATCTCCTTAACAAGGAGGTCCTGGTCAGGATGGCAGCATCAACACATTTTCAGTCCATATAAGGACGAGTACATTCAATGCTCCAATGATCCTAAATCCTGTTTTTAAATCTTGCATTCTTGAAATAATGTAGTTTAAAATGTCCCTGTAGCACACAACAAGACGAGGGTCTGAAAACGTTAAAAGCACTCTCACCAAAAACGGTGACAAAGACTCTTGACTTCTCTCTTGATTTATTCCCTCAGTAAACATGAGTTTATGGTCTCAATCGCTAGTTTCAAGTCTTCTTCAATACAGCATGATGTTCATTTAGTAAATGAAGGTACGCTTTAGGGCGGGGCTACCTTGTGATTGACAGGTTGCTACCACAGCGGTGTCCGGTCTGGGAGTTGTCCGTGTTTTTCGTCTTACAACTTTAACCCACAGTGTGTTTTCAGTTCATGACAGTTAATTGTAATACTTAAGTCGTCCTAAAAATGTATTGTTCGATTGTACTTAGCTCCACCCTCTTGTGTCACTTCTTGTTCCAAAAAAACAAAACAAGATGGCAACGGCCACAATTCTGTATTTGAGGCTTCACAGCTGTTGTCCACAAACCAATGGGTGATGTCATGGTGACTATGTCCGCTTCTTACATACAGTCTTTGGCTAATTTCCAATCATGTAACGTTTTCCTTCAATAGGCTGAAACATGCTGTTGGGGTCCACAACAAGCAGTTGTATCTTTTGTAACAAGGATCAGTCGGTCCACTCGTGTATGAAACTACGCACTGACATGTCCGTCTGTCTGTCCCCAGGTTGTATTGGAGACTGAAATCACCAACAAATCAGCCCTGAAGCTGTACGAGAACTTGGGTTTTGTCAGAGACAAGCGGCTGTTCAGATACTACCTGAACGGAGTGGACGCGCTGCGGCTCAAACTGTGGCTCCGCTAGAGGGACGGGTGAGGACGGGACAGCAGGTGCTGTTCACCTCGTACGCTATCGGCTTGACAGCCTCAGCTCAGCCCTGGTCATTTCACTCATATACACACACACACACGCACACACACACACACGCACACACATACACACCTGTGTATGCATAGACACGCAAACCCTCTTTTTTTGTCCCTGACCTCTGAACAACTGTTGTTTAGGCAGAAACGGACTGACATCCCACCTGATCTTCTCATGAAGGGGCCCCTGATACTTTCTGTGACCCGGAGGGTGTCTGGAGGGTCCATCAAGCTTGGATGGACCCCCCCAGAGGAGAGGGCTCCTCACCAAGTCCTCCTGCAGAACACGGAACAAAAACAGACTTCAACTAAACAGCAACACGTGAAACAAGGAAGCGGGGCAGTAAAGAGAAAAAAAAAAAAAAAAAAAAAAACTACTGGGAAGAAAATAGTTGTGGAGTTTATTTTTGTGTTACTTTTTTTTAACCTTGTGAGTTGGACGGGGGGGGGGCGGATGAAGCTATAGTATGACTGTGTTTGTACCGCCTCGTGTTTTTTTCTGGTGTGTGTGTGTGTGTGTGCGTGTGTGCGTGTGTGCGCGCGCGTGTGTGTGTTCGTGGCGTGGTTGGTTTCACTGTGAGCCAGTGTTTGTGTGACTGTGTGAGTGCGTGCTGGGTCTGAGTCGTGCGTACTTTTTGTGTCTTTTTGTTTTTCCATCCTGTCCAAAGGGCACAGCGGCTCCGTGCTGCCATCTCCCATCACCCTGCCTCGGCCTCCAGGACTGAAGCCTGTAAAGATATGCATGCATTTATTTTAACGTGAGTGCGGGGGGGAAAGTGAGCGCTGTGTGTGTGTGTGTGTGTGTGTGTGTGTGTGTGTGTGTGTGTGTTGATGAACCCGGTCTGGGGCTAACCCTCCGAAACCCCCTTTCCTGTGTTTGGTGTTAGCATGTTGGTGCAGAGCAGAAACAAATCACTCCGATAGCACACCACCTTGTTACTTCAGTGTTCTTCACTAAATCGCTCATCATCAAACCCTGACAGTATGTGCAAGCAGTTAGATTTTGTTCTTCCTATTTTCTGCAGATCAGAACTTGTTTATTTCCCCCGAATGCACTGCCAGCCGCTGCAAAATCCCCCAAAAAGGAGAAAATTGATTCTTTTAAAGAGACTCCTTGCCAATGATGATGTGGTCAAATGTGTCCTAGCCATCTCAGTTTACTCCTTTATTTTTTTTTTTGATTATTCGTCTGTTCTCCTCGATGCAAGTGCCACTCGATCCATCAGACGAGCTCGCTAACGGGCGTCACGCCGAAGCCTCGGCACCAGACCGGAGGCGAAGTGTTGCGTAATGCTGGAGTCCTGTTTGAGTATGGTGTGTGTGTGTGTCTCTTGGTGGGGGGAAAAAAAAAAGGACGATAGACGAAGTATTCTCAGCAGATTATATTTTATTCTTTTTGTTTAGATTGTCTAATATACACCTGTATAACCTCACGCTGCTCATAAGCGGCTGAGCCCACGATGCACTTCCCCGGTGCCCTAAACTCGATGCACAGCCAACCTCGCTAAAACATCTGATCTCCTCGGATGCACCCGGACGTTCCAATCCACACATTTTGCTTCAACCGCTTTTGTTTTCTCCTTTTTCTTAAAAGTAATATGAACAAAGGTCAGATGAACTTCTTTGGAAATTGCTGCAGTGTGTATGTGTCCGTGTGAATGTGTCCCTGTTAGTTCTGACAATGGTGTTGATCTGTTAGACTTTTATTTCTCTACCTTCAGAGGCCCCCGCACAGGAAAAACAGCATATAGCCTTTTGAGGTGCCGTGTTTTGTTCCGGCCCTAATGAGGACGACAGGAAGTTACAAAACACACACTTTATTTTTTAGTGCTCGCTGTGATAGAAAGGGCAGGAGACCGTTAATAAACCCTTAAAGCAGCTTTGATCTTTTTAAAGTCAAATCGACAAAAAACACAACCTCCATCACGGGTTGTTAATGCAATTTTATGTCAACTTCAAATGATGCAATTGGACATCTGCATGCTTTTATCAAACAAAAGTCTGCAGCAAACGTTCATGGTCGTCGGATGTTTTAATGATTCACTGTCTCATGAGTTGCAGTCGTCTCCGTGAGTGACACCACGACGTTCGTGTTGTGGGTTTAAGACCAGCTGAGGTGTCTCCTGTCTGGAGCCCAGGATGAAAGAGAGAGTAGATGTCCACAGAGTTGCCACCTTCATAACAGTGTGTGTGCGTGTGTGCGTGTGGAACTAAGGATCAGATGACCTATTTTTTTTTTTTTTTTTTTTTTCAGAGTTGTATATGAGTGTTCTATTCCTTGGATATAATGAGAGCATGTTTATTTTTTTTTTGGTTGAATTATCTGTTGGGAAGGGGTGGGGGGGAGGTTTGGGTTGATTTCTGTCAGATTTGATTTTTATTTTTAATTTCTGTGCTACTTCAGCCCATCCAGAGTCGTAACAAGTATTTTGAGCAGTTCAAAATAGGCAAAACCCGCTCTACACCATCACCGACTTTTACTGCTCATCTGACGCTGTTTAAATTTAAATTATCACCCCATGTAATCTCCCCCTGGTTTATTTTGGAGGTTTAAATCTTCTGCCCCTGTGTTTGGACACTTGTCTCCTCCGTGTCCCCCTCACTGTCTGGCCCTTTTCTTCTTGAACACGGTGACTACTGATGGATGAAAGGACAGGATCGGTAACACCTAACAGAGTGAACCCGTCTTCAAACCAGCTGTCAGGATGTATGAGGAGGCGTTTTAGATATAGAAGGAAACGTGTCTGTAAAATTTCTTTTTTTTTTTTTTTTGTTGGTTTAACTCCTGTGAAACTCTGGCAGTTCCTTGTGGGCATTACAGCCTGTCACAAGGAGCCGAAGGGCTCCGTTTAGCTTATGATCACAGACTGAAGGGCTTTGACATCAATATCAATTCGTAGCCACGGCCTGCGGTGTTGCACAGCTCTCTCTGGTGATGCATTTGGAATAAGTCTTGACTTTACACGCCAGTTCAGTGTTCACAGATGTCGGAGGCAGTTTCTTTCCTCCTCCTGGACGTCCGCTGTGATATGCAGTTGGTATATTATAACAATCAAAAAACTTGCTTCTCTGTCCTCACCTGGGGCGACATCTGCCATCCTACAATTCTAGTTTCACAACTATAAACTCTCCCAGAAACCAGTTTGCTGGTCAGATAAACCAGATGTTTTGGCTGTCACGCCGCACCACAAAAAGAAAGCTGTGGTCCCGTCAAAAAAACCACAAAGTGGAGAGCAAAAGGTTTTTCTGCATGTCACATGTCTGTTTCCCCTGTTCCTCTACCCCGTCCCCTCTCTTGATTTTGATCTGGAAATGTCCGATAGCTTTTATTTAATGTGGAAAAAGAACACAGAAATAAATTATTTGATTTTTTTAATGCTGTAAACTGAGTTATCTTGTCTGCTGTCTGGAGTGGTTTTCATTTAAAGCAGAATGTTATAAGAACGAGTCACAATCAGACCTCTGAGAGAATTGTTTATTTGATCACGTTTTCATATCTACATGAAGAGACAAAAAAAAGTGTCCACTATTTTACACCACACGTACTCTAAAACAGTATTATTGCAAATAAACAGGCAGTTGTACATGAAGCTTATCAAATGGCTTGTGAAGTTACAGAAAACATATTTCCTTTGAACGAAGACTTTGTATTGAAGACGGTGTTACAAACATGGCTCAAAGAGCAGCTTTCAGATAATTTTTTGCATCCTTTCTGTCTGAACTACAGACCTTTTTATGACATAATTTCCTCTTTTTCCTTAAAACGTAACGACTGGATTTGACTACATATACACATCGCATATGTGATTCCCGTGAGGAGTCTTGTCTTCTGTATCTGTCCTCGTCTGAACCGGATTAAAGCACAAATGTCACGATTGTGCAAAAAAAATGAGCCGGTTCAAAGTAATCCACTTGTGAAAATATGAACTTCTGGTCTTCAATGTTTGTGCTTTTCCAGCCAACAGAAACCGTTCATTCATTAGACGTCTCTGCTACGAGCGGTGCGTATGAATAGACCTACGAGTCATGCACTTTAAAAAAAAAAAAGAAGTGGCAAAAGAATGACTTCTATCAGAGTTATATTGTACATCAAGATCTGTTTTATGCTACATACTTTTATAGATTTATGGTATTTTGTATGTGCGTCTCACAGTAACTTAAACAAACGAATGCCTTCGAATAAACCATTTACATTTCCACAAAAGTCACATTTAAACAAGAGTAGTTTAGATGGTTTCTTTCTAACTCGGCAAGAAAGCAAATAAGATAATTTCCCAAAAATGTTCCTTTAAATATCCTAGATGTGTGGCAAGAAATAAAACTTTATTTACACTAAAACGACTGACGTCAGCTACATATACAGTACATATATATTTACATTGTTTATGTAATGTAACTCTTCTACAGCCCTTTTTTTATTTTTTATTACTTGACAGAAAACCCGCTGCCCCACACGTTTCCCTCAACTCAAACAATTTACCAGCAACACTTCCATCCTGCCAAAACCCTGCTAATGCTTTTTTTATTTTTTCACAAGCAGCAATATCATTTTTATGTCAAAGTGCATCACGCCAGCTCTGCCTAACAAAGTCGACATCACCTGACGACGTTCAGAAAGGTGCTCACATTGGTGCTTTCGTAAGAGAGGGCATTTAAAGCTGACCGTTAGTGCAGATTGTGCTCTACAGGCCACTAAGTCTCTCACTGTGGATCAGATGAGTCACAGACCAGACAGCCCTGTGATTGGAGATGCGGTAGTCATTGCGATGGGGGTGTTTGCAGAGCCTCCATTACGGGAGCATCCGCCATTGGTCACGGACGAAAGGGGGCCCAGAGGACTTCGTCAGAACTCGTCCTCGGAGCTGTCGGCCAGCAGCATGGCCTGGTCCTGACAGCTGGTCCCGGGCTCTCGAGGTTGCTGGGGAGGAAGAGTGAACTTAACACAGGATTGATAATCAACAACAAGTGTAATAAGTGATATGTGATAAATAGAAGTGGGCTATACTGACCTCTGGCTGCCGGACCTTCCTCCTCTGGTGTTTGAAGCTGTTCCTCCTCTTGCGGTAAATCATGCGGATGCTGTAGAGGGCGCCGACGATGAGCAGGGCCCCGGTGATGCCGATGCCAACGGGGGCCAACATCCCAGACACATAACCCGCCTGTCGAGGTAGAAAACACCGACGTCAAAGAGGAGCGGAGTCGTCAACAAGACTAATCCAAGCAATCTTTCTTATACTCCAATGGATGAGAATAGAGAATATAGCCGGCTTCATCCAAAACATCATTCAGTAAGAGAGCAAAGGAAGCTGACATGTTGAGGGCAGCAGGGGCGGTCTTACCTTTTCTCTGATCAGCTCTACCCAGCTCCTCACTGGAAGAAAAGAGCCACAGGTTTACCACTGTTTCCCTCTTATTCTCTTATTATATGATTCACTATGTTGAATTCCAGGGTTTGTAAGATGATTCAGAAACCACGTTCGCTTACTCAACCCCTGGTTGCGTTGAACCCAGACGGGGGGCGGAGGGATGAGGCTGTACGGGGGCCGCGTTGACGATTTTTTAGGTGTTTCTGTTAGGTCCTCCTCGCTCTCGTCCTCCACCGATTCCTCAGAGATCTCATCGTCCTCGTCTTCATCTGGCTCCTCTGCCGGGAATAAAAATAAATAAAAAATATCTACTCAGCCAGCCAAGAAAATATCACATTTATGATTCAAGATAAAATAAGAAAGAAAATGTTCAGTTGTCAATAAAACTCTCCTCACCCTCAGACTCCATCTCCTCCAACCCTGATCTGGATTTGTGCTCCGGATGATGGGTTGCCATGGTTACCGTTGTCATAGCATGCTGGAAGGATGAGGAGGAGGAGGGGCTGGCGGTGGGCAAGCGCTCCTCGAGGTTCGGTGTCCTCGCAGCACCTTTACGTCGCAAATCAGAGAGAGAGAGAGAGAGAGAGCGAAAGACGATTTCACTCCACTGTGTGCAGCTTAGACTTCAGGTCAACTTGTGTTCCATGTTTTAGTGATTTAAGACATGCAAAGAGTAAACGTTAGACGAGTTAATTGTCTGAGAGCCTCGTGTTGACATTGAGATTCATTCAATCATTCTGGTTCATGCCACATCACCTCTCTCAGACTGATCCTCAGCTCCGCCTTGCAGCTGTGACACAGACGGACCCGAGGAGCCGATTGGCTCCAGGAGCTCCCCGCCAGACGTCTGCCAAGGTGACGTCCAGTCTGGCATCAGCAGGAATGGGGCTTGCGAGGGACCGGGCACCCGTGTGACCGCCGCCGCTGCTTCTGATGTGACATCTTCCAACGGCTCGAAGATAAGAGGGAGCGCCTCAGACGACATGGTGCCCTCTGTGGCCTCATCCTGAGACGGCGGGACCGCAGTGTCCACTGTCATTGTGTCAAACACAGAGACCGAGTGAGGGTCAGCATGTGTAGCATGTGGTATTTAAGTTACAAAAGGGCAGAATTGTTTGGGCCTTCTGGTAAAAGTCAGTGAAATACTGCAGTCTGAAAGTTTGTGTGATCGTGCTCTGTCGACAGCTAAAATAAAAGACTTCTTCTGTTGCAAAGCAGAAATGGTATTCAGCACATATATAGTAGCAGTGTACAGCTTTTTGAAAGAGGTACCTCTTGTGACATGCAGTTTTCTCATTAGAAGCACTTGCACTCTCTTAGAGCCGAGTTCACGGTGCAGCTAAGACACAATGAAAGGAGGATTGTTTGAAAAATGGTTCTTTCTAGATAAGAGGCGACCACAGAGGGGGCTGTCACCGGAGAAGCTGCCACTGCATATCTGTCAGGAGTTTTCCTTTAGTCCAAAGCATTTCTAACGTTGGCTGAAAATGCTTACAATCCTTTTATATAATGCTGTTTTGGGAATTAAGTTTTTTATTTTTTGTCAGCTTCCTTTCTATTGGGAGGAAGTTTCATCAAACAAACAATCCCCGAATGGACAGCGGGAATACATATTGGCTCAGACAGACTTCTTTAATCCATTTCCCTCTGCCTCTGAATAATAATCTGCCTGTTTCTTTACAATAGTCTGGATGGGGAGTGTGAAGGGTGGGAAAGAAGGCGAGGCGTTTTGAGGGGGAATATATAGATAGAGAGAAGAAGGGGTTGAATCCTCCCACGACTTGTATAACACACACCCTCCACCAGCCCATTCCTAGCAGTTGTGTGTGTTCTCTGTTTTACTTCCTTTCTTTTTTTTTCTTACAGGCTGCAGTCAGGAATAGAAAGTAATTAGACTGCCACGGGTCCCAGCTGGGGTTCAAAGTGGAGCATGGAAAAGCGGGCGTCTTTTCTTTGCCAATCATCAAAGGCAATCTCTGCCACTAGACGTGTCATTTTCATTTCCGCCTCATTTTTAATGAAGCCTCCTGAAACCGTGCAAACTCGGCCTGTTGTGGAAGGAAGTCTTCCAGGGTGACAATGACTGCAGAGCATTACCTTACACCAGGGATTCTGTGTGTTTTAAGTTAGGACATGTTGAATAAGGGATTATAGAAAGTTTTACCACCCCCCCAAAAAGGTCTATTTCCCATCAACATTAATTACGCTTCTAATTGTTCTGACTTACCTCCACTGGGCCGAGCCGCCTCTGTCCACAGGCTTTCTGGTCCATCCTCTCTGGGCATCAGGTTTGGTCCAATTTCAGGTAACAAGGGGTCTGGGAGGGAGGACATTGTTTCATCATGGCCCCAAATCGACAAAAGTGTGGAGGTCCGAGGAGAGACAAAGACCGTGGGAGGGATGGAGCTGTGGGAGGCTGGTGTCTGGATAGGTGTGCCAGGATTTGGAGGTTCTGTAGTGGATGGCAAGCTTGTTTCTGGGTCTAGTTTTGTCTGGTCCTCCTCACCTTGGTCTTTGGCCTCACTGGCTGTGATGCTCAGCTGTGGGGCCTCTGATGAGGAGGCTAAAAATCCATCTCTCACTGTAACTGCTGTGTCCAACAGCTTTCTCCCACCTGTAGAACTTAACACAGGCTGATTGTCGACAGCTATGTCCTCCTGTCTGACGTCGGGTTCAACAGACAGCACCGCAGCTGCCTCCGTCTGTCCTTGATCGTCTCCCATCTCAGATGAGCTCCCAAACTTCTTTACCCCGCTGCTTTGGCTCCATGCCTCTCCGCCGGCCTCACTCGGCCCAGATCTTCCACCAAAGCTGTCCCCGTTTTCCGTCTGCGTCACTGGATCCATCCCCTCAGGTTGTCCATGTGGGCCAGCCCCTCCTACTGCACCTACATTCAATATCAGGCCAGTCACAAGCTCTGTGTCTGAGGGTTCAGACTTTACATCTGTAGTGTGCATTGACCCAACAGTTGTAACTGAGCTGGCCTGTGTGGGGGGGGAGTTTGGGAGGTGGACAGGGGTCCCACAGACACAGAGACAGGTCCCAGCCAGCAGGAGGCGATGGAGCCTCCCAGACATCAGCATCTCGGTCTCGTCTCAGTGCCTGCTGAGAGTGGACACAAATGATGAATGCTAATAGGCTCAACTGAGGTGTGAATAGTCTCTGCCTGCAACTTCAACACCCAGCAGACACATGGACAGAGAGACAAAGCAGAGGTGGTGGTGGGAAGAAAGATAGGCGAGAGGACGAAAGTTGTGCAGCTGCAGATTAAAGGCTCAGAATGCAAAGTGTATAGCACTTGACACAGCCTGTGTTAACCACAGAGAACAGGATTTACTGTGCATGTCTGCCTGCCTTTGCTTTGATGCTGTGGTTGCACCGTTTTTGAATAATTCACATGAAATTCCCTATTTCATCACACTAACTGCTCATTTTGTAGGATATTACCAGAAGGGAATGTTGGGCACATGCACAGAGGGAGAGAATCTGACACAGCAATCCTTAGCACCCCCTCCGCACTTCACCTATAAATAGCACCAGGTTTTCTATCCTCTACAGATGGATCCATGAATGTTTGAATCACACAAACCTGCAAAGCGGCAATTTTCAAACATGCACGCGCATTGTCAAAGGCTGAATTGGATCGGAAAACGAAGCAAACAGTTGTGCGTGGCGCAATTTGTTGCTTCACGTGACGCGACAGCCATGATCACCTAACAAGCGGTCGCTGACACGTCTGGTGTTCACATGGTGACACCGCTTTCATGTTGTCTGAGTCAGACAAACGTCTGAATGATCATCCAGCCCAGTCCAACAATGTCACAACGCAACCCACTTCTCTGTCTGCGCACCTCCCCTGTGATCAATACAGAGAACAGACAGTATGCTCATGCAGTCCACCGCCTGTCAACATAATGGCTCGAGCATTTGCACCGCAAACATATTCACGCTGCGGAATGATCGCACTGGGGCTAATCACAGCCTCGCAGAGACTACAATGCATTCCCTTAAATCGCATCATCCATCACACTGTGGCTGTGAGAGCGAAATGCATATTGGTAACAATTTAAGTCGCGTAAAAATAAATACCTTCCAGAGTTCATGACGGATCGCTGTGCCTGGAGGACGCAGAGTTTATCTTGCAGTGTGCAAAAAAAAACAAACACACGAAAAGAGTCAGTTCGTACGGACACAAATTCAGGAGAGTCAAGTGTGGAAAGCAAGCTGAAGGAGAGGCTTGTTGTTGTGCAGCTTGGCGTCACTGACTGGAAGTCTTCTCTACGTACGTCCGCCTGCTTCAGAACAGAAGTGCTGCCACCAAATGCTTAAAATCTGCAGAATTTAGGCAAATTGTCGTCTTTGAAATCGGCTTTATATAAGCATCTATTCCCTGTTGTATAATCATCATTGGTTCGTTTTTTCATTGTCTTTCCCAAAGAGTCGTCTGAGGCTCCTGGTGGTGCTGAATGGACAGCTCCCTAACCTCAAGTTAAAGGTCAGCGGGGACCAGAGAAGAAGAGAACTGTCATGTCTCTTATCCTGAAAATATTATATTAAACTTTTTATTGCTCAAATTTCACCAACTCTGTTACAACAGGCGCAGATTACTTTTAAGGTTTAAAATAGCTTTAATGCATACATTAGGTTGGAAAGCATGTTTGAAGTTCTTCATTGTCATGTGCACATCAATTACACAGAAGGCAAGTCTTTGGAATGAAAATAAAATCTTAGATCTCAGGCTCCCTCCAACAATGCTCATTAAATAAGTATACAAATAAAAATTAGGCAAGTAAAAATAGAATCTGTTGTGCAGAAATTAAAATATTGGGATACATTGTATTCTATATAATGCTAATCCAACACTAACATTCCATTATGAAAATGAGAAAATAGGCTACTTATAGAAATAAATAATTGTTTTGTTTAATTGATTCATTCTCTGTGACCGCTTCAATTAGCACAGTTATTCCTAAATAGAGCAGAATACCAGCATGTGTGTACATGATATGGCAATGTGGTATGGTAACTGATTAATAAATGGTTTAATAATTTGTTTGTTTTTCCACCTGATATTTATGACTGCTGTGGGGACAGAGATATCCTTCATATTTAAACATTTCATGAACAGCCCGGCAAAGCTGGAGTGTACTGTATAAAATAGGGTTGGGGCACACAGAAAAAGTCCCCAAGTCCCCCCCCCCCGGTGCTCCAGTGAGGTGGCACCATCACCATCCATGGTTTTCTTTGTCAATAGTTCGAAGAGATAATCAATATACGTTTTTAAGAAAAGTTTTTATCCATTTCTAATCCATGTATTATTCATTTTCATTCAATTGAATTGTATTACATCTTAAATATTCCCAGCCTGTACATCACATGGTTTTTCAATGGTTCAAAGAAGACATTTCTATACAATACACAAGGTAACACAGCACAATAATATATCTGACATATAAAACAGTAAAATTATGTAATCTGATATGCTTTGAATATACTATTTCTTAAGTTTGTTTGAGTTTTACTTTATGTATTTAAAACGTCTGCATTTGGTTGATTCATCTGAAATGTTTTTTGTTGAATAGAAAGTCAATCTAATAGTTTTGAGCATACTTTTGATCAGGCAATTCACGTGACATCCCGTTTCTTGAAGGACCCAACCCTACGCAACCCGGAAGTCAACAGCGTTTTGTTTTTTCTCCTCCTCCTTTTTGATACGATGCGAATTTGCCACTGCCCAACACTTAGCACTGACATTATTATTTAACAAACTAAATAAAATGCCCTTATTTGATGGGTTGGGCAGTGGAGGAGAGAAGACTGCGATCGTTATTGACTTAGGCGCAGCGTACACGAAGTGAGTACCAGCCATTAGCATGTCGTGTTAGCATAATATGCTAACGTATATATTTGACACAATGAGTTAATTTAACCCAGAAGTCAGACTAGACAAGGTCCCTGTCTTTTGTCCACTGTGAGATAAAGACAATACCATGTTAACTGTTGTTCGAGTGACCTAAATCATTTTTGTTAATCATCTGAAAGCTGTCTGAAACCAAACGTCATGTCACCTATCATGATATCTTACACATCTCTCCAGCATTTAGGTTATTTACAATGAACACATGTTATACCAGAAATGCTACTGGTAAATTATTAATATATTTTTTGCTGGCAGTATATTTGGCTTCAATGCTACATAATTTATGTCATCTTGCAGGAATTGTAGGCAAATGTATTTTAATATTAAGACGAGAAACTGTCCTGAGGCGAGTCACATGAAGATTAAGAGGACGGTTTTCTTTAAATAAAGATCTCTTTGTCTACAGTGACTGTCCCACATCATTTGACACAGCTGCAATGGTTTTTTATGCAACTTACTATAATGATCATGTCGCCATTTGAGCCAAGTCTTTGCATGCAGTCCTTAGATTTATCTGCATTATAGAATGTATTAAGAGTATGAATCTCAACCTTCTCGTGAAGCCCTCCAGCTGACTGCGTCCGTTTCTTGCAGATGTGGCTTTGCAGGGGAAACGGGGCCCAGGTTCATAATTCCGAGCGAGATCCGGAAACCGGGACAGCAGCAGGTGAGACCCTGCTGTGCTTTGCTGAGTGTAATCATCTGGAAAGATGTTTGGAAATTGCAAAACGTATGTAAATGTGGTTATCTCACTTTCAGGCCATCAAAGTGGTTCAGTACAACATCAACACAGAAGAGCTCTATGTCATCCTCAAAGAGTTTATCCATTTGCTGTACTTCAGGTGAGACTCTACTGCAATAAACATTACAGAACATATACTGCTTTCAGCTGATGGAGTGGTCCAGCCTCATCAAGTCAATGTGTGTCTTCCCGTTTGTTTTCGATCAGGCACCTGCTGGTGAATCCTCGCGACAGAAGAGTGGTCATCATCGAGTCCATCCTCTGCCCGTCTCACTTCAGAGAGACGCTCACCAAGGTTTTCTTCAAACAGTTTGAGGTACGAAAACCAAGCAGATCCGTCTTTTATAGAAGCTGCAATAACACAACAATTTTTTTTCAAATTTGTTTATTTTGGTGTTCTCCAGGTGCCGTCTGTGGTCTTTGCACCAAGTCACCTCATGGCCATCATGACTTTGGGTCTCAACTCTGCTCTGGTGATGGACTGTGGCCACACGGAGACGCTGGTGCTACCTGTATCCTTTTCCTGTAATCTCTGACCGTTTAAAGGAATATTCCCACTCTGTAGGATATGGGTTTGTTTGCCTTCTTACCCATCATTATGAGAGAAGATTGATATCAGGTTAATCTCTGTTAGGTACGGGACACACAAAGACAGGAAGCAGGGGGAAATGACAAGTTCTATTGAAGAGGAAAATAAATCATAGAACAAAATCCTTTAGGTTAATTTTATTGTGTATAAACTTTATATTTTGCCGCCTTAACTGTGAACACAGGTGTATGAGTGCACTCCTATTCTGCCAGCTTGGGAGGCTTTGCCTTTGGGAGGGAAAGCCATCCATAAGTAAGTAGCTCGAACATATTTAAGGAAAGTGTGTGACTCTGCATGTTGCCATACTACTTTGTGCACACTTGTCTGTAAAAAGAACACTTTTATTTTACTCTTTGTTCCATGTTGATTGCAAATCGTGTGACAATGAAGTGGAACTTTTTTTTAAAGATGTGCTACTTCTTCCTCTTGTAACAGCATGTGTCTGTGTTTATGATAGAGAATTAGATGGACTTCTTGTGGAATGCACTGTGGACACAGACACCATCACCGGGCAGAGTGTACCAGCTGCCATTGGTAATAACAGAAAGAAACTAAACACTGTGTGTCTTTCTCCTTTTTAAATAGATAAACTTGTAACTCTGATATGGACTGATTTGTTTAAAAATGCAAAAATATAATGGCTTTGATTTATTATTCATCAGAAGAACATGTTTCTGTTTGAGCGAGTCCCCTTCTCATTTTTTTGAATTATACATATGCACACAGTCCATTTCAGAGTTTTCTCTCCACACTTTGTCTTGGTGGAGGAATCCAGCTGTAATATAGTGTTGAGCTGTGAGATCTACAGCTGCAGCAGAGTGAGAGAAGCCCCACGTAATAATTCATCAATAATTGAGACAGACGGAATGCTGAACGAACTGCATGTCTGCAGTAAGCACAGAGCGGCTGAGATCTCTGTAATCGCACCATCTACACTGGGCATGACTGGAAATGAAAGATGTGGCTGATTTGTCACTAAGCGAGGCAAAGAAAATACAACTCCCCCTCAGTATGTCTTTTTCATCTTCTCCTCAGGGACCATCCCAGAGGACACTGTGGAAGATATCAAGGGTAGGTTTTGATGAAGTTGTTTTCGTGTTTTAAATCCGAACCCCTCGCTTTGCTCCCGTGAGGCTGATGGATCAAGATTTTAATTATTTCCATCAAAGGCAGAATTCCCAAAAGCCAACAACACAACAAATACAAACTTCTACTGAGACTGTGGCTGCTTCCTTCGTTACTGTCTGTCCACCGGAATATTATCCCTGTTATCACATAATGATGCATTTATGTAATTTACTTGGTTTGTGCTGCAAAAGAGCCCTCATCAATAATGTAATAAAAGCTTTCATTAAGGACTAATGTGCTTCCTATAACCTTTTAATTCATTCAGGACACTGGTAAAATGTTCACCCTTTGTTATGAATGTACATGGTTTTAGTTTGGATGTTTAATTGTTTGTTTCCTGCAGTCAGAACATGCTTTGTCAGTGACCTGCAGAGAGGCCTCAAGATCCAGGAAGCCAAATTTAACCTGGATGGCACAGCTGAAGTGAGTGACTTGTTGTTTGCATGTTGGTTTGTATGCTTGTCAGCTTAGTTATACTCAGTCTGTAAACAAATGCTTGCATTAAATAAAGCCTTGCTGTGCTTTTTATTCTTGTGAATGTGTTTGTAGCGTCCGGCCCCTCCTCCAGATGTTGATTACCCTCTGGATGGTGAGAAAATCCTGCATGTCAAAGGATCAATCAGGTAGTTCATCAAAGTGTTTCCCTTTGTCACAGCCCTTCAGGTGTTAATGTCTTTGTAGAATCTTGTCTCTCTGCTGTACCGTCCATCTGTGGGACAATACATTTGTCTTTTAACTTGCTTGTTTTCTTCACTGTGTCTTTAAGTGTCTGACACAGAGTTGTCCCTCATTGGATTGTCTCTTTTCTGTCCTCCAGGGATTCTCTGATGGAGATCCTGTTTGAACAGGACAATGAAGAGAAGAGTGTGGCCTCTATAATACTTGACGCTCTGGTGAAGGTAGAGAAAAGTTCTCCATTCTGTGAGACTCGGCATGTTTGTGGGGCAAGGTGTTATGTTTATGAACAGTCACTTAATCATCTTTCGTCCATCTCATTTAGTTTTAGATTGCACATGATAACCGAAAAGTGCGGTCCTGTAGTGGTAGAACGTCTGCTTTCCTCCTACTGGATGACTGTGGACACACAGATGACTGATAACATGTTTCCCTATAATCTGTCAGGTCAGGGTGAAACCCATGTGAGTGATCTAATCAGGTGCCTGTGTTTTCCTCTAGTGCCCCATTGACACACGCAAGGTGCTCTCAGAGAACCTGGTGGTGATCGGAGGCACGGCCATGCTGCCGGGTTTCCTGCACCGTCTGCTGGCAGAGATACGCCTCCTTGTGGAGAAACCCAAGTACAGCAGTGTGCTGGCCAGCAAGAGCTTGCGTATACACGCTCCCCCTGCCAAGCCCAACTGCACTGCCTGGCTCGGAGGTCAGATATGAGATTTTATGAGACGAGATTATTTGTATGTGGCCTCTCGTATCATTTGGAAAAGCCCTGTATGTGTATTCGTACTGTTCTCTGCTCAACAGGCGCTATCTTTGGGGCGCTGCAGGACATCTTGGGCAGCAGGTCCGTGTCCAGAGACTACTACAACCAGACGGGCCGCATCCCAGACTGGTGCTGCTTGAGCTCCCCTCCTCCTGAATCTCTGTACGAAGCAGGAAAGACGCCTCCTCCACTAATGAAGAGAGCCTTCTCCACGGAGAAGTAGAATGTGATCATTCAGATAATGTACTCATCCTTTACTCTACGTTATATAACAGCTCAGTACTCTTAAATGTAACATCTCAATAAGTCCTGTCAATGTCTTGAACACGCAAACAGCTCTAGATGTTTTTAAGTCTAGTCGTCACTGTGACTGTGGGCTGTTTGATGATCCGGTGAGCTGGTTTCTGAGCCCACCAGACAGAACAAATATTGGGATTTTAGGCGTTTACATTGATATTCTGCAAGGATTACAGTGTTAGAATCCCTGTGCTACATGCATGTTTAACTTCAGTTTCATTTGAAGTCTCATTGAGCAAGACTGAACCCGTACGTGCTCACTCTCACTCTCACTCTCACCCTCACCCTCACTCCACTTTGTTGGCAGTTTGACTGAAGAATCGTGTTCAGCAGAAATGTTTCAGATGATTACAAGTTGACCGTTGCCGTTAATCATCCATTTGTCAGCCAAACGGCTGAAAATGTTGCTTAACTTTAGAGAAAGCAGACGTAATATCTGATTGTATTTTGGTTTCTTTGACGGTAATGTCTCATGAAGCCCCTCCCCCCCCCCCAAAACATACGTTCACGTATTTATTATACGGCAGTGTAAAGTGGCTGTTGACCTCAATAACAGCCCTGTACACTCACACAGCTGTTCTGTTATTCCAGCTAATAATCATCATCATCTTTAATTGGTAGCACATGTGACAGGAGATGTTTTCTCTGTTTTTGTTTTTTTATTTAAACTTTATTTAACCAGGGTAGTCATTAAAAGCATTCTTATTTACATTGGTGGCCTGGATGTCAATCAGTCCTGACCTGAACACATCCACACATCCACAATAATTATAATCACCTGTGTGTGTCCACCGTAGTAGTGTTTGTTGTTGTTGTTGTTGTTGTTGTTGTTGTTGTTGTTTACAGGCTTTAAAACATCTTCCAAACAATGCAGTCTCGCTCTGTAACCTTTGAATCCAACTATTACAACAAATAAATACTCAGAATCCAATCAGACGTGCTTTTTCTGTCCTTTCTGTCCTAGAATGGCGTATGTTTCAAATAAAAATATTTGATAGAGAAATAGCTGATCACATCTTTGTGGGAAGCCAGCTTATAAACACCAGCCTGAACTCTGAAGTCTTAAAAACGGACTACAGACTTATTTCCAAAAGCTAGAAAACAAGCAGACTGATTTATGACGATGTGTCGTTCTGCCACAGATTCCCTACAGATAGACTATAAAGACACTGAAGTCACATCTAGAAATAACCTGCAGGTTAAAGAAAACACTACAAAAACTCATTTGTCCCTACAGTATCGCCACAGGTGCTGCTAAACTCAGTTTCTACTTTTCTCCCCCATTTGAATCTCCGAGCTATAAATTTGCTCAGAATCTGAGAGAAATCTCTTTCCCTCTTCTGCATGTCTTAACAACGCGTAGGAGGAAACACGGGATCGCTTGCCAGCATCCTTCTGGCTGAAAATACAGTCAACACAAGGAAATGCATACATTCATTTATCTATATAAACTTCCCTGTCTTTTCCTCATCTATTCTTAATTCACTGAGCTCTATCCACGAGCTCCTTTCTCTTTATTAAGAGGTGAGCGTCTCGTATTAATGGAACAGTGTATTTCCTTGTTAAGCTAAACATATTCAAGAAACCCCCAACGCACTGTTAACGTCCCAGAATGGAGTTGCATCTGTTTGACCTTTTGGGTCGCATTCATCCCTCAGTGTTGGTCCGTCTGGTCACTGTGGGCTTGGGAACCAGTAGCATTACCCACAATGCACCTGCAAGCCCAAGACTGGCAAAAAAGTGTGGGAAATCCGAGTAGAGTTTGGATTCTGCTCACAGGCATTAAAATAGGCCTGAACACCGAGCGTAGGAGAGCTGAAGATCAGGCTGTAGATGAATGTTAGGAGGTTTTCATCTGCCTCCCAGAAGCATTCATATGATTGTCGGAAACATTTTCTCATTGCACAAGGTTTTTGTGATTTGTTTCATCTGTTTCCATGGGACGTAGGGTCAAAAAGAAACCAGATGAAGAGCTTTGTTACTCTTTTGATGGTTGAGTCCAGACCTCCTCCCTGTGAGCAGGCCAATGTTTGTATGAGTTACCACGCGTAAACTTACTCAAATTATCCTTTTTCTGACCATATAGCTAAAGAAAACCACAGCCTGAGGATTTGCCGTATAGTCCCACCTGCTGCCTCTGCTCCAACTGAGGGAAACCCCATCCTCCCTCCTCTAATGGGGACTGGGACTCGAGCATCAGTGTGGTTCCCAGAGACAGGAAGCAGCAGCTGTCAGTCTGACCTCTGGCTGTCAGACTGGGAGTCTGAGCGGGATGGGGGAAACCCCCGGACAGTGGGTGAGCTGAGCTCTGCCGAACCGTTTGTTGGAAGTTCAAAAGGAGCTCACACGCCCCAAATCCATCAGGATGTTCACTCCGTGTTCACAGATGAAATCCTGACGTTAAATCATGATTATATCTGTATTCTGAACTGAATTTAGAGATCGTTCAGATAGATTTCAGAGTGCAAACTCACCTTGAACTCTCTGGCTTTGCCAGGAATTATTTCGTGTCATTGATATTACTTTTCTCATGTGAGCAACAAGCTGGTGTAGCATCACAGTCTACGTGTTGAGAGGAGAGGCATCATCCGTCTGAGTTATCTCCTCCACAGAGGCTGTTTTTCAAAAATCACACCAGCCCAATTATCCTGTAAATCACACTGGCTGTGAAGACACACCTGGGCCCTCCTGGTAAACATAGGAGCAGATATGTGCTTGTGATTCATGACCTGCAGAATGAGCAAACAGGAATTGTGAAATGGCTGCTAGCACCTAACTCATTTTGACAACATAATTGGGAATCGGAATTATTTCTAAGTGACAGCATCTACAAACCATGAGAAGCCAGGTATTGTGTAAGAGGAAGGCTAACGTTATATAGCTGTTGTTTATAGCGCTCGTACCAGACATAAACTGACGATAACAGGCATGTTACCAGAAGTCAACACACCATTGTGTATTTATGTTCCAAAATCATGAATAACTCAATATTATGCTCATTCATGCAGCATCAGTGTCGATAACCTCAGGTCTACTGCGTTTGTTCCAAGATTTGAACTATAGTGTTTGTTTGTTTTAAGCTTCTTAATGACAAAACATTACTGGTATATTACGTCTTTTTGCCTGCAGGCAGTTCATGTTTTTCCCCCACTGCTCCTGTCAGCCATTGTTTTTCATTCATTTCTGTATACACGTCGATGTCCTGTTTAAACCATCTATCTTCAAAATGTCAACCCTTTATGAGTGGTGAGTCATGTTTTTGTGATTGTTTGTTTAGCGTACGAATAAAATGAAACACCTGATTCTTCATTTTAATAGCAGAAAAATTTGAGAACTTGATTTTTTTCAGGACAAACTTCTGAGGTAAACTGGTCCTGCTCCATTTCCACAGGCAGTGAGAGAATCCTACTGAGCATGTGCAGAGTGGCATCACTCTAACTTGTTTCTGAGGCCCCGGCCTCCCCCCTCCAGCGGGTATACCTGTATATACCTGTGTAGATACTAATTTATAACTTTAGCTTTAGGTTAATTTGTCATGAATACGTTTCCCATTACAATTGTTTAACGTTTTGTTTATTATAGTTTAGGCTGTTTTATTGCTTGTTATGATGATTATTATGGCTGCATTAATTATTACCAGAGAGAGAGAGAGAGAGACACCCACACACACACACACACACACACACACACACACACTGTGGTAACTCATCCCAGCCTCTCTCTCTCTCTCCTATTCATAATCAGCTGTATTCAAGGGTTTGTCCCGCGCGCGCTCTCCATCCCAGTTGCTCGCGCACAGCGGGACAACGCGCCGCTCAAAAGAACCTCAGCCGCCTCACGACGCTGTTATTTTGACTTTGTCACTTCTCACCGACCGACCGGAGACGAGTCGGAGGTAACTCGTCTTTGGCACAATGCAAAGTCTCATCGGAATCTCGCACCTCTTCTCGGTTCTTCTGCTGCAGCCGGCACCTGCACAGGTAATCCAAACAAACTCAAAACATGCCCTGTTTGTAATTTTAGCAAAAAGAAAGCAGTTTTTTGTTTTATTAAGATATAGGACATTTCTAAGTTGAAGGTGTTTTGGTAATGGTTGTGCAATTTATTAGTGAAATATTCGCATTATTATATTTAGCAAAGTAAAATTGAATTTGAAATTAATAAATATTCAGCGTGCTGAAGACAGCTTTAAGGTTTTTAGAAGGCTGTCTTTTCTCCTTGACTCCAATTAGCACCTCAGGTGACTCGGTGAAGCTAACAGGAGTCACATTTAAATGGCAGACTATGTCTCTGTCAGTGTGAGAGGACACATCTGTTCCACACTGCAGTCTGTTTACACGCTATCTGTATTTTGTCTGGCTGTGTCCCACCGTGAAGATAATATCTGCATAGAGGGTTTGCCATGTTCACAGTAAGTCATGTGGCACATACCAGCTTCAGATGCAGCTGCTGCATGTTACTGATCCAGGTTCAGATCGAGAAGTGGTACTGAGGAAACAGTAAACCAGGCACCGGAGCTCGGCCAGAATAATGCTGCCTGTCATGGAACAGCAGTTGTGGTTTGGAGACTCTGCAGCTCCAGGTCCTGCTCCCATGGTCGTGATGAGGGTGTCTTACTGGTTTTGCACATGTGCTCCTTCTCCGTGTAACATCTGACTCCGGGCAAGACAGATAAGTTCAGTGTCTCCCAGCAGGGAACCGACTGCACGGTGTGAATATGGTTTGCAGTTTATGTGAGGAGATTAGACTTGAGTAGCAAGCTGGTCTTTAAAGGACTGTGAAATAACAAGAAATGTTTTTAATAGTGCAGTCCAGGAAGCTTCTCACGGCGCTGATGCGAGAAGAGTTTGCTATTAAAAGTTTAAAGATGTTGTGAAATGTATATATATATATACTGTATATATATGTTTTATTCCAGAGTATATTTCATCCATCCACAATGCTGTGTTTAACAAATATTTGAAGTGACGTAGCAACAGATCATGAATGGAAATACTTGCATTGCAATACTGCATGAAGGACACAATGTCAGTGCTAAAATTATTAAAGTTGTAGTTTTGGCTTCAGTTGCCACACATGAGAATTAGTTAATATGAGGAAAATGTGAATTTAGCCTCCAGAATCAGGAAAAGCACATCTACTTTTAGCTTTGCCATTTTCTAAATCCCAAATGACCCCCACATTAATAACTGGGGTAATGCCAACACCTATAACTGGTGGTTTAAAATGGTTTGCAAATGTCTTCAGCATGATAATAAGCCATTGTGCCTTTGTGTGGAAGTTTTGTGGTAGTTACAAAATTAGAGGACGGAAAAAGGAAGTTGTTCCATTTTTAATTATTTTCCATATTTTTCCTTTTTTAGCAAACCCAGTCCAACATCTTGCCTCTTCAATCAGACTGTGATGTATTTGCATGTTTTATTAATTACAGCTGCTGTAATGCATCTGGTTCTATTGTTGGATGACATTGTGCATTTTTGTCTTTGGCACAAACTCATTTCCAGCAAACATTTTTTTAAAATCCCACAATAAAAACCACTGTTGTCTAAACAGCGAAAGCATTCCCTGTGTGTGACATTTAGAAGACAATGTTCCCATCGATGTTCACAGAGTGAGCGAGCAAGAGGAGAGGTGAGGAGTCAGAAAGAGATTGTTGATATTGAAAAGAAGAAGAGAGCCAAGATCAACTTTGTGTTTCTGCTTAATTTGGAGTTCAAAAATCCGGAGCATTGCCATTGTGAGTTCGGCGGCTGAGAACTTGGACAAATCCATGCTGAGTCATGAAACCCTTCAGTGCCACCTTTGTTTTAATCTGTTTATTGTGTGTAAAACTCCCACGAGTAAAAGCAGCAACTATTCTTTGCTGTTATTTCTTGCATTCTTTGAAGGTTTTTGATTTCTTGTGATAATAAACCTTCTAGTATTACATCAGATTGAGAAATCAAGTGCGTTTTTTATTTGCTGATGGCTCATTTTACTGCTTAAACAGCAACACAGTGGTACACTCCTGAAACCATGCTGCATCAATGTTTTCACTGGATCAATGTGTGTGCAGTCCCTTTTCTCTGACACAAGAGGGCGCTCTGCTATTAGAAATTATCCAAAATCGGATATTTGAAACCATTTCATCTCTCACTTGTATCAGATCCCTTGTTATATGCAAGTTCTGTATCATAACAACCATGTTTGGCGTTGATATTAATGCCTTTATTAAATATATTTAAAGCGTTGATCACTGAAGATGTCAATTGTTTCTTATTATTTTTCTGTATTTTGCAGATTTCACACCCTCCAGAAGATGGTCACTCAAGAGGTAAGGGGCTGTCCCACTGAATAGGCATCTCCACCTCTCGCAAATTGATCTAAAGACTCGGCTTGTCTCGTAGTGATGCCGTTTCGTGAGGTGATTGCAAAGAGCATGTGTCGGCCCATGGAGCAGTTGGTGGATGTGGAGCAGGAGTACCCCGGAGAGGTGGAGTTCATCTACATGCCTGCTTGTGTCCCGCTGTGGCGCTGCTCTGGCTGCTGTGGGAATGAGAACCTGGAATGCCAGGCCTCCCTTGAAAGCAACATCACTCTGCAGGTGTAGAAAGAACCCTAATCAGACATGATTGACCAGAAATACCAAAAGAGATGTTAAAATATTACATATATGGCCCTATAGTCAGTGTTCCCTTCCCTTTGTTCCTCAGGTGATGAGGATTCATCCCATGATATCTATGCACCATGTGGAACTCAGGTTTGTGGAGCATCAGAGGTGTGAATGCAGGTAACTCTTTCTAAAACACAACAGATGCAAATTGAGATTTTTATAACACGGCTAACTGACAATTGTTTGTGTTTTCTGTTTTTAGACTCCGTCAGAATCAGCTGAATAATAAAAGGTCAGTGGATGAACATTTTATCCATCAGACTTGAACACGTCAATATCTTCACTGCACTTTGGACTTCTTCCACAGCAGCAGCAGCAGCAGCAAGTCTATCAAGAACAGACCTCGGAGGAGGAAACACAAGAAGACAGCAAACGGCTGTGCCAAGTAAGAGATGGATCGCCCTCCTGCGGCACAAACACACGCACACGCACACACTCTCCTTATTATGTCTGGACATTTACAGCTACATTCATCACTGATTCTTTTCCTCCACACTGTGAGACTACCGGGGACAGATGAGGTTAAACAATATCACAATGTATTGTCTGCTGTGTTGCTCTTCGTTTTGGCAGGCCTGTAATCCACCGGCCATTTATAATGAGCTTGTGCTTCTCTGTGAAGCCACGGAGCATTTGCTACACAATCTAATAATAATCCAAGGCCGCTGATAGTTCCAACCAAGGACGGCCAGATTCACATATAAGGAAAAATAACAGGAAGGGATCAGATCGGTGGAGGGGCTCAGTATATTTTCTATGTCACATTCTGCAGCTGACGATATGTGAATTGAACAAGGAATAAATCCAAAAAGCAGCCAAATCTACCTTGTGAACGAGAGTAAAAAGCCTTTTTGTGATGTAGCATCCAGTGACCTTTTTTAGTCCAAGAAATTCAGAGAAATATCAGACCATCATTTTACAGTCAGATCCAAGAGGTGGATTTTCAGTGAGTTTGGTATTTTGTTTGTCTGTGTGTTCACTCTTCTCACATAAAGGTGTTTATGTCTGTTATGTCTGTTGTTTCTCTGTTATTTGACGAGGAATCTGCATCTCCTCTAGTAAGAAGCAGAGTGGGGGGACATTGTATCAGCAGCACAAACAAAGGAATCCATCCAACCTTTAAACGTTGACCCCATGTACGCCTGTCCTTTAATCTATTTAAGCCTCAAAATGATAATTTGGGAATTGATTTGTAGTTCTGAGATTTCATTTTAGTACATTAGTGGGTCTCATAACCTGAGAACACTTGCAATTTGGGAATCGGAAACGTACAAATTCAGGAAGCTCATCTGTTAGTGAAAAAATCAATTCAACTCACTTACAATGAATGGAATATCCAAAAAACATCTGGATAAGAGAAATGTTACGTAATAGCTATAAAACATGAAACAGGTACTTTCCATTGTTTCTCCAATGTTTCGATCTGATTGAATGATTTTAAGGGGCAAATACAACAATAAGCTCCAGCAAAATGGAATAGTAGCTCATGAATAACGTTGATAATTAACACCAAATGCTCTGCTGCTTGCTAGTTAAAAAGATGGACACGGATGTATTTCAAACACACTCTGAAGTACCAATATGAATGTCTTTGATGTCTATTTTTGTCTTTTCAGGTGCCAGTTCCCTCAGAAAAAGATAACTCTTCACTGATTCACATGGCGGTCCATAATGTGGAGTGACTTCGGAGGGACAAACAACATCGATCGTCTCTGTGACTCTTCATCTTCTTTCCTCATCCAATTGGACATGAGACGTTCCATCGTGTCCATCTTGACATTCTAGTCATTTTTTTTATTAATTATCCAATCAAACAACAATATCTGTAAACTAGTTTGGCTCTATCTGCTGGTTTTAACAGGCAAACATCTGTCTGTTATAGAAAAATATTTGGTAACTGAATGTTCAGTTACCAGGGGAAAGGATAAAGACCTCCATCTTTAAGTGTTCACCGGCAGAAACCTTCTCCACGACTTCATAAGTGTGACTTTTGCCACCTGTTAATCATGTGTGTTACTTTCTGTAAAGTGTTATTTACCTATTTACATAGCACATTTATATAAGTTCATTAAATAAAATGTTGATTGCAAGGAGCCTCTGTGTTATCTATACGTTTGCATTGGTAGACCATTAGGATGTGAGACACAGAGCTTTTCCTCTGAGATGATTAAGGTGTGGCTTGATTGTACGTTGTCTTACATAGCAGGTAGGATCCTTGTGAAGTGACGAAAAAGAAATATACATATAGATGAAGTAATCTACTTTCTAACTTTGTGAAAGCATTGTCTTGCAGCATGTGACAGGCCTATTAGCTGCTCTTATTGTTTAGTAGAGGTTGTCCTGTCTTCCCTACCAGACATGTAGGCTCACAACTATGCCACCTCATCCTGCATTTGTGTTAATGCAGGCATGAAAACGTGCAGTCACATAGCCTAGTGATGATCAGCATGCCTGCACGTGAGAAGGCTTTTTGTTCTAGGCGACAGCGTTGTGTGTTTACTTCTTCCAACATGCTGTAAAGAAGACTTACTCTGCAGAGAAGACCTGCAGAAAAGACCTGTAAAGAAGACCTGCTCTGCTTAGGTTAGCTGCAGGCCCGCCAGGCTATTATGTAATGCACCCGCACATTAGGCATCATTCAAGATGCGTGTGCACTGTATGTCTACTGTAAGCGCACAGCGAACACAATTAATTTCCCTTAATTTACCACACGTTTGGCAGTGGTCACGTTTTTGTGCTCGCTTTGCCACATCGGCCAATCAGAGGCCTGGAAATGTATGTGACGTAGACGCTACTCCAGACAACCACGCCCCTAACCTCCCAAATATGGCCGAGTGTCTGTAACTAACACCCCCACCCCCCCGTCCCTTGATTTATTTTACGCCGCCCAGGAACAACAACTGTCGGTAGGCGAGTGAAAGGCTCCTCTTTTCCGTTTTTAACGCTCACGGAGGACAATTAAACTGCAACGGTTAACGGCTGCTGCAGCCACCGCGCGCCGCACGTGTCTGAGCAGAAAGGGGGGGCGGCGTGTCTCGTGCGGTGTGCAGTGAACACCCGAGTTCTGCTCGACGTCGCTGGCTGCCAGCTCGCGACGTTACCCCTCAGCGTCGTTGGAACAGAACAAGGTACTTCCGCTTATTCTTTTTTTTTTTTGTTTGTTTATCAAACGTTTATTTGTGTTTTTGCACACTGCTCTAACTATGTACTTTGTGTCGGTTGACGCTCTAACGTTCGTTAAACAGAGTTTGCTTTAGCGCGTGACGTTAACGTAGCTAGCCAAAGTGCTAAGTGTTGTTTACTTGCGTTTAGCTAGTAAGCTAGTAATGTTAGCCGTCATATATCGAAAGTATAATGTTCATATATGTGTTGATGGTACAACATATCTATGCAGTATGTTGGAAAAATGATATTTAAACCAGGTAACGTTAACCTAATACTATCTCCTTTTATTTTGTATTGCACCAACCGGTAACGTTACTTAACTGTCCAATAAAGTCAGAAAAGTGTCACGTTAATGCAACCGGTAAGACCAGGAAGTGACGTTTATAGCATGCACTAAATCAAGATACAGATATGCTACCCACCTCAAACTGAATGTTTAAGCTCACGGCTTTTACGTTTTTACATATTATTTACATATTGCTGGTGTTCTGTCATTGTTTACATGTTGCTGGTATTCTGTCATTGCTGCTGTAGTTGCTGTGAGAGCTAGTCGGAGCCAAATGACATTGTCTGTAACTTACAGCAGGAAAGGAGATGAGCACCAAGAGGAAGGTGGATAGTCACTCGAGGGCAACAAACAGACCTCGTCTCATGAAGTCTGGAGGAACCCGGGCAGAATCAGAGAGAGACTCTGGGTTCTCAGGTCCGGCCTTGCTCTCGAAACAGTTTTATGTGCTTAGATTGTAAAATATCTCTGACTTGAGCCCCTTTAATACTTCTTCCTGGTCTATAGATGCAAGCTCGGAGCATATGAGCTCAATGGACAACACGGACTCTGAGGATTCATCCCGACCTGTTTTACACAAGGGCCCGCATACTTCTGGCTCGGGGCCCCCATCCTCTCAGCTGGCTGTGGTGGGAGGCTCCTACTCTAACCTCTCTCCCATGATCATCATGAACAATGTCCTCCTCAAGCAGGTACATTGCTGCTACACAGCAAAGCCATAACTCTGTAATGTAAACCTCAGCGTACAACATAATCTGTATGGATGAATTAATGCTTCCACTCGGGTTCAGCCCTCAATCTTTTTAACTTCAGGCGGGCATACAGGCCGGTCACAACAGTAAAAGTTGCAGTGTAATCCCAGCTGCCTGGAATGTGTTGCCAAAAAAAGACTGTGACCATTCACACAGAGTCAGCACTACTTGCTGACCAACAACAGTAAATAGAAGTAGCTCAAATGAAGGATATTAACCTGATTTATTGTATTTCACATTGGTGCTAGTTAAACCTCAATATGACAGACACAATGAGGTGTAACATGTATCTGCAGTTTGACCCTCCTTTGAACATGTGGGTGACGAGAGAGAGAGAGAGAGAGAGAGAGAGAGAGAGAGAGAGAGAGA